GAAAATAAAACGAAGCCGACGACGAAGGCCATTCCTTTGCCAAGCTGCGAAACTTACTGCAAGAAACCAAATCTATCGGTAACTTTGTAAAGCAGGTAGTCCGCATCTTCCCAAGGTTCGATCTGGGCTCCTTCACGTCCCTATAGAAAGCACAGAACACACATCATTAATTCATCTTGCTAAATTTATTACCTATGGCGCAGCACGTAACAATAGCTGCTGGTGTCCTCGGAACCTCACCAGCGATTCCTTATTTTTACCCACAAACGCTGGAGGAGGAGAACCCCTGGTGGGATTCAGCTGGTTCGCACCGGTTCGGCAGAACCAGTAGCTAAATTTTGCTGAGTTCAGAGAACCGGCTGAACGCACTGCTTCCAGAAGTCTAGTCTAGGCCTCGGAGGCCTGGAGGAGGCCTCCCAGGCCTAGAATGGCCTGCCGGAAGTGCATGGATGCCACTTCCGGAAGTCCATTCTAGGCCTCAGAGGCCTGCAGGAGGCCTCCCAGCCCTAGAACAGCCCGCCGGAAGGGCGTGGATGCCACTTCTGGAAGTCTGTTCTAGGCCTTGGAAATCTAAGGAGGCCTCCCAGGAGTAGAACCGCCCGCTGGAAGTGCGTGGATGCCACTTCCGGAAGTCTGTTCTAGGCCTTGGAGGGCCAGGCCTGCATCCAATAAGAGAACCGGTTGTTCAGGTATTTGAATCCCACCACTGAGAAGAACCATGGGTCCGAGTGTCTTTCCCACAGCTATCTACAACTACACATATTCAAATCATCTATAGGTGTGCACAGGCCTTCTCTCAACAGAGATACACAATGGGGTTGCCGCCAAACAATGGAGAATGTATCTGCACTATAATTTTTCCTAATGAACTCTCCTAACGAACTGCTCCTCCCGTTTCTCCAGTAGTAATTATCCATCTCGTGTTCAGCTACAAAAGAAATATTAGCAAATAACTACAGTTCGTGGTCACGTGATTAGAATTCAGGTATTTGGCAACCGGCCCTATATTGACGACAATTGCAGTGTCCCGGAGTCATGTGGTCACTTTTTGTGACCTTCTGACAAGCGAAGTCAATGGGGGAAGCCAGATTCACTTAACAATAGTGTTGCTAATTTAACAACTGCAGTGATTTGCTTAACAGCCGTGGCAACAAAAGGTTGCAAAACGGAGCAAAATTCACATAACAACTGTCTCGCTTAGCAATGGAAATTCTGAGCTTGGTTGTGGCCTTACGTCAAGGACCGCCTGTATTCTGCTTATGACTTTTAAGTCCAATTGCCTGACCAGGACTAGAAAAAAAAATGCTGTTCTAAAGAGATTATTTGTTTCATGGGATCTCTTACCCTCTCCTCAACAGAACACGCTTATTATCATATTAAATGGTATGTTAGGGTACATTTAATGGGGGAGAACAGAAAGACTCCAACAGAGCAGGCTTCAATGATGACTGTCACCTTCTTAAATCTCTTTATGGTTGGCTTCACTCACTTAATCATCATATTTTCTTCTATTTGAATGTATTTTTGGCGTATACACTACTTGGAGGGTAAGTGCTTGAGAGATGAAGAAGAAATGTTTTCAATAAATTGGTTCCTAGCCTACTTCCAGGTCCAATTCAAGGTGCTGGTCATTACCTTTCAAGCCCTTTATGGCATGGATCCGATTTACCTCAGCAGATGTCCCACCCTAATGGGATTATAGCCCACCCCCCTTGCTTCAGCAGAAGGGCTTACTGTGGGACCCATCGCTGAGGAATTCCAGCTGGCAGCTGCAAGGAGAAGAGCCTTTCCTGATGTGGTCCCTACCTTGTGGAACATCCTGCCACCAGAAGTGAGACTGGGGCCCTGATGTGGGTACTCTTTGCTGGAGGTGGTTGACAAAGTAAAAAGAAGACCTCACCCCTTTTGTGACCCATCCTTTGGCTCTACTTTTTACACGATTTCTTTACATTTTAATTGTTTCTATATTTATCTTTTTATTGTTTGTAAGCCATCCAGAATCACCTTAGCAGTGAGATGGGTGCTGTATAAATTTAATCAATAAATAAAATCACAGAAGAGATGTTTTTATTCTCCCCCCCCCCCCAGAAACATCCTGTCTTTTGCAATATCAAAAATATTACAAAATATTACAAAATAAGACAGGTGCTATTTCCTACCTGGAACTAGAGTGAATCTTTTCACACTCTTCCTTTTACAACACGTTGGTACAATGGCTAATTAAGAAAACAGAGGGCACCACAGTGATCAGCCACGAGTGAGATAATGGGGCAGGTGTTGATGTTTATTTGTTCATCATCTGACATCTGGGATAATCATTATTACTCAGTCCAAGAGAGTAGAATAGCCCATGACACAATTATTTAAAAATTACACAAACTTACTTGATCATACTTGGCAACTATCTCAGCACGTTCTTGAGCAAGTTTAACAGCAGCATCCTGTTCAACATCAGAACCTGGGGGGGGGGGGGAGAAAACAGATACAGATGGACAGGTTTTATCTAGCTGCATTTTCACGATTGGCATTTAAAGAAAAATATATCTATATATATTAAAAAAATATTTCTTCCTTATAAACATAATACTGATGATTTAAAAAAAAGGGTCTCTAAGCATTGGGCATTTAAACTGACCATTTTCCATCTGCTGTCTTTTGCAATATTTTTGCATACCTATTTTGGTAGTTTTGGCAAGCTATTACAAAGCAATTTTTAAAAAAATAATGTATTAGTAATGCTGGTTCAAGTTAGCCCTTCTGAAATTAAAATCCGTGGCGAAATGCACTTTATTTAAGGAATCTGGGCAGTAAAGCAAGAAAATCTGAATAGCGCTTCCAATAAAATATAAAGATAATATATCATCAATAGCTACAGAGGCATTGTTTGTGCTAAAGCCTTCATTTATATAGGACAATATCTGGATTTCGATCCACTGTTAACAATGTAGGATTTATGACAAAAGTTTCTTAAATAACTTCTGAATTAGAACCACTATATTGTACACAGAAAACTATCTGTAAGATTTTTTTTAACAATCAAGTTAAAGAGAAATAGTCCACATGTTATTATTATTAACCATGTTGCCTGGGTTTACACCATATGGTTAATGGTTTAGTAAAAGGAATATGCAGCTGCATTTGTACAATGCACCAATAATGGCTAGTTTTAAGATTATTTCATTTAAAAAAAACAACTTGTGAGGTACAGAATCAGGACATAAGACATTTACGAACCCAGAGGACAAATTAGCTTATTTGTGAATCCAAACTATTTGACTACCTCATGCAGGGGTCTTCAAACTTGGCCCTTTTATGACGTGTGGACTTCAACTCCCAGAATTCCTCAGCCAGTTGAGGAGTTGAAGTCCACAAGCCATAAATGAGCCACGTTTGAAGACCCCCGACCTCATGCCTCAATATACTATTAAGAAGCATTTGGATTTTTATCAAGCAATACAGATAGTCCTCTGCTTACAACAGTTCATTTGGTGATCATTCGAAGCTACAACGGCGTTGAAAAAAGCAACTTATGATCATTTTTCATACTTTAGGACCATTGCAGCATCCTCTTGTCACGTGATTTATATCCAACTGACTCACGTTTGGGACGGTGGCAGCGTCCCGGGGTCACGTGATCCCCTTTTGCGACCTTCTGACAAGCAAAGTCAATGGGGAAGCCAGATTCACTTAATAACCGTGTTACTTATTTTATCATCTGCAGTGATTCACTTAACATCTGCGGCAAGAAAGGTCGTAAAACTGGGCAATACTCAACGAATTTCTCAGCCACATAAATTTTGGGCTCAACCGAGGTCATAAATTGAGGACTATCTGTTATCTGTTAGCAGTAAAAGGAAACCAGGCCACCAAAGAACAACAGCTGACAATAGCCTGAGCATAGAACAACTCAGAGCAGTAGTGCAAGATTGGAAGATGTGGAGAGACCTGGCGCATAGAATCATCAATCAGACATGACTGAATGGATAATATCATCATCAAGCAATTGCTGTTGTTGTTAGTTGCGAAGTCGTGTCCGACCCATCGCGACCCCATGGACAACGTTCCTCTAGGCCTTCCTGTCCTCTACCATCTTCTGGTGTCCATTGAAGCTCACGCCTACTGCTTCAGTGACTCCATCCAGCCACTTCATTCTCTGTCGTCCCCTTCTTCTCTTGCCCTCAATCTTTCCCAGCATTAGGCCCTTCTCCAGTGAGTCCTTCCTTCTCATTAGGTGGCCAAAGTACTTGAGTTTCAACTTCAGGATCTGGCCTTCTAAAGAGCAGTCGGGGTTGATCTCCTCTAGGGCTGACCGGTTTGATCGCCTTGCAGTCCAGGGGACTCGCAGGAGTCTTCTCCAGCACGCAATATCTTCTCCATCAAGCAATATCCAGACATAATAAGCCTACTATATTATTCTAGTGATGCAGATCACTTTCCCACCGAGATGCAAAAAAGCATTTTATGACTAAGGTACAAAGATTCCTTGGCTGACAGACTAAGGAGGCAAAGATCCCAACAAGGCAGAAAGTTTGACAGGCTCTCTCTTTCCCTAGCCCTATTATTTCTGCCGGAATGGATAGGTCTCACAGCTTTTCAGCAGCATGTGCTCTATTTTTAAATTCTTCCTGGTTGCAAATTGGCCAAGCTTGAGGTAGTTAACAAAGCACAGCTATTATCCATGCTGGGAAGCGACTGCCCTCCAATGCTGAAAAACAAATCAGATCAGATGCAGAAAACCGTGAAGATCAGATGATTTTTCAGACAGCTCAAGGTATACTGCTGTTTTCTCCCTGGATCACTGGGGTCACCTAATGATTACAAGGTGCTGCTGAACGAGAAGACATCAGGTCACACAAAAAGAAAAAGAAAAAAAGCAGTAGAGCCACATAAAAGCAAGTGACAAAAATAATGGTCTGACTCACCAACAGAGTCAACAGGGAAGTGAAAGGAAGGAGACACGGAGACATCAGACGCGGGCGAATATTAATCAGAAGATAAAGGAATTACATTTCTCCAATTCCCCTACCTCCTTGAGCAAAAAAGTAAATTGCAGAATCTGGTAAATCAGAGGTCTCTGGGTCAAGCTTGAAGCTTTTCAATTTGCCAGCATAAAAAATAAAGAGCTTATGCGAATAGTTGATCGCTTTAGGTTGGAATTAGGATTTGGTCCAGCAAATTTTAGGAAGTCGATGAGTATCTTCGCGTTTCTATCCCGCTCTCTCTGCGGGATGCTCTAATGAGCCCTTGACAGAAGAGACTGACAGTCGTTTTGTTAGTAACTTCACTGCATAAGTCAAGCACATTAAGGTTCTACATTTAGACAAGAAAAACCAAATGTACAGGTATAGTATAGGGGGTACCCTGCTCAATAGTAGTAACTGTGAGAAGGACCTCGGAGTCCTAGCGGACAATCACTTAAATATGAGCCAGCCGTGTGCTGCAGCTGCCAAAAAGGCCAACACAGTGCTAGGCTGCATTAACAGAGGGATAGAATCAAGATCATGTGAAGTGTTAATACCACTTTACAAGGCCTTGGTAAGGCCACACTTGGAATACTGCATCCAGTTTTGGTCACCACGATGTAAAAAAGATGCTGAGACTCTAGAAAGAGTACAGAGAAGAGCAACAAAGATGATTAGGGGACTGGAGGCTAAAGCATATAAGGAACGGTTGCTGGAATTGGGTATGTCTAGTTTAATGAAGAGAAGGACAAGGGAGGACATGATAGCAGTCTTCCAGTATCTCAGGGGCTGCCCCAAAGAAGAGGGAGTCAAGCTATTCTCCAAAGTGCCTGGAGGCAGGACAAGAAGCAACGGATGGAAACTAATCAAGGAGAGAAGCAACCCAGAACTAAAGAGAAAGTTCCTGACAGTTAGAACAATTAACCAGTGGAACAACCTGCCTCCAGAAGCTGTGAATGCTCCAACACTGGAAGTTTTTAAGAAGAGACTGGACAGCCATTTGTCTGAAATGGTATAGGGTTTCCTGCCTGAGCAGGGGATTGGACTAGATGACCTCCAAGGTCCCTTCCAACTTTATCATTATTATTATTATTATTATTATTATTATTATTATTATTATTATTATTATTATTATTATTATTATTATTATTATTATTATTATTATTATTAGCTTCAGGATACTGGCCAGCAACATCTTCAACACCTCTAAATCTGTTGGAACTATCACTTTCAAAATTCCCAAATGAACTTGCCAAATGTGAATCTGGATTCCAATATTTTAAGACTGTATGAGATTAGGTTTAGGCTCATCCCTAAGAATTATTGTGTATATGTTATGTAATAGGAAAATCTTATTTAATAACCAGTTGTTCAGGTAATTTTTCAATCTGCAAAACCTACCTACCATATGTTACTGAGAGAAAAAGACAGGTGCTCTTCCTGATAGCTACTATGTAAGTACTGCGCTATCTAATAATCTGACATAAATTCCTACATACTCGTATAACAAATAGTGATTAAGTGTTGACAGTGATAGATTTAATCTTTTTGCTGAAGAGAGGGGAAGAGAACACAGATGAAGGTTCAATGGTTCACTAGTGTTGCTATATTACACCTCAGACAGCAAACTAAAAAACAACCAGGAACCATATAAATACAACACATAGACCAGGGGGTCTTCAAACTTGGCCCTTTTATGACTTGTGGACTTCAACTCCCAGAATTCCTCAGCCAGCCACGCTGGCTGAGGAATTCTGGGAGTTGAAGTCCCCAAGTCATAAAAGGGGCAAGTTTGAAGACCCCCCTGACATAGAGCAACCCAACACATATTCTGGAGAGAGAGGAATTCCCTGACGATGGACTGGAATCCAGCATGAACCCAAAAGCTTGGAAGAATTAACCTTTGGTCCCGGTGACCGATTCAGATTGGATCCTGTAAAAAAAATATGGTAACTCCATCAGATCACAAGCAGTGTATCCTTTCCTGGCCTGACTTTTGCAGCCCTTAGCTGCAGTCTGCAATGAACAATAGCAAACTATAAATCAGTGATGGCGAACCTTTTAGAGACCGAGTGCCCAAACTGCAACCCAAAACCCACTTATGCATCGTCGGGTGCCGGGTGGGTGTCGCCCATTGGCTGGGTGTGGCCAATTGTGTGGGTGTGGCCCATTGTGTGGGCGTGGCTGCGGTGGTAACGGCAGACTGGGTGGGACTAAAAAGTTAAATCACTCAATTCCAACTTTGCAAGATCTTTTTTTTCCCACGAGAAGTTGAAATTTACTGATTGATTGAACCTTTTTTTTTTTTTGCACACGGCGCTGGAGGCCTAAAGCAAAAAGGTTTTATAAAACCCAGCTGAAGGCCTAGGACTGGGGCGATGGCGCACGTGCCCACAGAGAGGGCTCTGAGTGCCACCTCTGGCACCCGTGCCATAGGTTCGCCACCACTGCTATAAATCATGTGGACCCTGATAAACAGAGCGAACAAGCAGCTGTGTCTATTTCTAAGCCAATTGGTTTGAATATTACAGCTATGTTAGAGGCAATAACAATCCCTTGTGCCTGACTCCTTGAGCAATGACTGCATGCTTAAATTTATGATGGCATCATTGTGTTGCACAACAACATTCTTACCCTAATCTCATGTACTAACATTCTTAGATCATGAAGCCAACAATCTAATCGGGAAATTGGTAGTACCGTGTTTCCTTCCACTTCGCTTTGTTATTTAAGCCTTACCATTGTTATATAAAAGAAAGGATAAGTGAATTAACCTTATGAACAAAATGAGGACTTTTACCCATCTTGCCAAAATTGAACAGATTAAGGGTAGCCCCCATTCCTTTCTCCCCATCACGTCTTCCACTACTGATCTTGGCTACTTCTGAAGAGATGTTGTAGGGAGAAGTGCCCAGTACTTATCCCAACCACTAGGAATCTTCCACAGGGCTCTATGACATAATACAGGTTCCTTAAGAGAGCAGAGAAACCTTGCACTAATGATACGTAGCTAGGTACTCAAGTCTATTTACACCAGGTCCTAGGCGTATGGGAAGAGGGTTTCTTATGGCTGTAAGACCTGTCTGCAAAGGATAAGAGGGGAAAAAAAACAGTGGAACCAGCCACAGAATAGGAGCAAAAAGTACACAACTCAGCAATGAGCCAACACAAGAGGCAGAAACTAAAGTAACCGAATTAACCCTTGGCGTCTTCTAATAGCTCACCGTGACTTACCTAACCACCGAGTATGAGGGTCACAAACTGCACGCATAAAATTACCCCAGTGCTTTCACTTCGTTGAGAAGAGTGAAGCTATTGACACACGTAATTGCCAAATCCACTCATGTATGTACTACCTTTTAAGCGTGGGAAGAACCTCTTCTAATCGTATGAAAAAGCAGCAAAGTAATTACTAGCATGCAACATTTTGTTCTGGAAAAAAGCACCCGGCAGATTTTGCTGTATTCCTTAAATCTCTGGCGTTGTGGAGTAGCAATTAGGAAACTGTAGATCCGTTTTAATATCACTGGAATTCCTTGTTTCCTCCTTCAACCCCTTAAACGATTTAGCTGCCTATAAGCTCCTGACCACCGGGACACCGTTAAGATCTCTGTTATTTACAACGCTGTTTTCAAAGCTTTCCTTACCAGGAGACTGAAAATTCCTTAGGATAATGTCAAAGGAACATAACACAGGGATTGGATGAAATTATTAGACGGATCTGAGTCTGGTCAGAAGTTGGATGGGAGATTAGGGACATCCCACGGATAAATACTAGCTGTGCTTTTTCAGTGAAAGAAATGGGCAGATCTCAGGTTTTGGGTATCTCCTGCAATTTTCTCCAGCCCCACACCCCAAAACAATACCAATACAAAATAGTACCTTGCAGGTTAAGCCAGATGCTAAACCGTGGCTCAGAGGGTGGAGCAAATGACTTACTACAGCTAATTATTATCCACAAATTACCCGAGTTTCTGTATCACTTGGGTTTTAGCATTAGGTTTCACAATTAGCTAGCACATCCACAAGAAAACTTGGTTGATGGCAGTCAAGTGGGCACTTCATATGGTTGGGGAACAAGTAATTTGGGCAACAAAGCTAATAGAGTCCCCCCCCCTTTTCTAATAAATAAGGGGAAAAAATAGACTGGCTTACAATAAATCATCTATCTAACAGCTGATTCCATAGTTCTTCTGTTTAGCACCATCCAAAAGAAAATACGGATTATAAATTCAATAAAAAAAAAGGTATTATGGTAGAAGATTATTGACGTAGTACCTATGTTTTTTTTCCCTTTTCTAGCATTTTATACAGAAGAGTCAATACACAAAATACTTTAAGAGCTATGGAACCAAATCTACTCTTCTTTTAAAAGTACAGTTTGAGGAAAACCACACACAAAGAACACTGATAATCATTTCTAAGTAAAGTTATCTGAGCAAGTCCTACTTTAAAGGAAGGCAGTTGAAACAGATACACAAGAAGCCAGTTTTATCTCAACGGCTTACTTCTGATAACTAAGAATAAGCCAGTAAAAGCATGCAATTTCATTTTGGAGTTGTATTTTACCATTGAGGTTTGCTTTCCTTGAACGGCCCCGAATCCTGTTTACAGTTTTAGTCCTCATTGAGCAAGAAACTCTATTTCCAGACCGCTGCGCAACAATCAATCATACAAAGTCCATTCTGTTCACGTGTGCAGAAAAATCCAAGGAAAAGGGGATGACACCCATCTTTCTTCTTCTTTTTTCTTGAAAAACGAGACCTTCAAGTAACTCGGAGCGGCTTGAATATCAAATTCCTGCAAACACTGACCCAATGTGGCATGCTTTACTGTCCACAGAGCTTTAAAACAATGGTGCCATTGGGTGAGTTGTGAACGACGCGCAAGTATTTCCCATCGCAGCCTACACGTCCAGCATTCCACTCCAGAAGAAACGAGTCTTCAGTAAACTCTCGTTGCACAACAGCGAGATGAACAACATCAAGGACGGCAATAAATACCAAGAAAGAGAATATCAAATGATAGACATTGTCCTTGGTTACAAAGTATTTCAGTTGCAGCTATTAAATACGCACATAGACAGAATGTTCCCGTTCAAAAAAAGAAAGGGGGAAAAAAAAAACTTGTTCCACGCAGGCTTCACAAAAAAAAACACCACAAGCTATATAAGATTGTGTTGCCGTGTCTTAGCTCTCTTGGAAATACCCAAACATTCCAATTCAGCAAGGCTTCATTAAAGTATTAAAATTCTTGTGGGTGGCAACTACAGTACTTGACGCTCTTTTAATGAACGTTGAGGGTTGGTTTTTACAAGAATTAAGCTAAAAGGCACCAGGACACACCCATCAGAAAGCCTCACTAACAGTAGAGTAGCTTCACTACAGGTAGTCCTTGCCTTGCAACCATTCGTTTAGTGACTGTTCGAAGTTACAACGGGACTGAAAAAAGTGACTTACGACTGTGTTTCACCCTTATGACCGTTGCACAGGCCCATGATCAAAATACGCACGCTTGGCAACTGACTCGTATTTATGACGGTTGTGGGGGCCCGGAGTCACGTGATCAGCTTTTGCGTCCTTCTGACAAGAGAAGTCAATGGGAAGGCCAGATTCATTAACAACTCTGTTGCTAACTTAATAACTGCAGTGATTTACCTAACAGCCGTGGAAAGAAGGGATGCAAAATGGGACAAAAACAGTCACTTAAGGACTGTTTTGCTTAGCGAGAGAAATTTTGGACCCAGTTGTGGCCATAGGTTGAGGACTACCTGTGCTTAGAAATGAAGCAAAGAGGCACCCTAGTTTTAGGAATATATTGTTGTTGTTGTTTTAAAAAAATCATCGAACACATTAAACAGAAATCCTAAAACAATCCAGATGTTGGTTGGAAATAAATTATGATGATGATGATGATGGTGATGATGATGATGTTGGAAGGGACCTTGTAGGTCATCTAGTCCAACCCCCTTCTCAGGCAGGAAACCCTATACCATTGTGGATTACCTGTATAGAAGGAGATCCCTTGATGTCACTAGTTCTATGCTACATTCTGGATGCAGTTTGCATGACAGAAAACAGGGTGTGTATCCTGTCTCTGGATAGGGGAGGGGTAGGCAACCTTGGCTCTTTTATGACTCGTGGACTTCAACTCCCAGAATTCCTGAGTCAGCATGGCTAAGCATGGAAATCTCTTCCTTTCCCTTCAGCATGGCTGGCTCAGGAATTCTGGGAGTTGAAGTCCATGAGTCATAAAAGAGCCAAGGTTGCCTACCCCTGGGATAGGGTTATCCAACTATAATGGCCCATTTATTTATTATTAAATGTGGATGCTGCCCAACTCCCAGGGACTGCGTAGTTTGCAAACTGCACTACTCCAGCTACTTGTGGAGTGAATCGATGGGCACATGGGCGGCATTAAGAAGTTTTACAGTGAAACCTGTTGCGTGGAAGTGCCTGTGTAATGCATTCTCTAATCCCTGGGAAAGAACAGGCTGTTTCTGAAAGCACTCCAAGTTCACAAGATCTGGAGATCCCTCCCTCACTTGGTAAATGGTTAGCTACATCTCCTCTTCATCAAAGACTGTTACCAAGAAAATGAAAAAAAAGGTCTGCCTTTGTAAACTCAGGATTAAACGGGTCCTAAAGGTAACTGTATTTAGTTTTTGAGATATAGGTTAACCCAGGGGTAGTCAACCTTGGCTCTTTTATGACTCGTGGACTTCAACTCCCAGAATTCCTGAGCCAGCCATGCTGAGGGGAAAGGAAGAGGTTTCCAAGCTGAGCCAAGCTGGCTCAGGAATTCTGGGAGTTGAAGTCCACGAGTCATAAAAGAGCCAAGGTTGACTACCCCTGGGTTAACATTAAACTGCCTCTTCCTTTCTCAATCAATCAATCAATCAATCAATCAATCAGAATAGAGCTAGAAGAGACCTTGGAGGTCTTCTAGTCCAACTCCCTACTCAAGCAGAAGCCACTGTATATCATTTCAGATAGGTGGCTGTCCAGTCTCTTCTTAAAAACCTCCAGTGATGGAGCACCCACAGCTTCTGAAGGCAAGCTGTTCCACTGATTAATTGTCCTCACTGTCAGAAAATTCCTCCTTAATTCCAGATTGCGTCTCTCCTTGATTAGTTTCCAGCCATTGTTTCTTGTCTTGCCTTCTGGTGCGCTTCGGGAAATAGGCTGACCCCCTCTTCTTTGTGGCAGTAATTATATAATGATTAAAGAAGCCTCTGTGAGAATCTTTCTGTTGGGGCATAAGAGTCTATCAAAACTCTGCCAATACCTTATCCTTTTTCTTTCTTTTTTTTGGCTCTTTCAACAAAGCAGTCCAGATATTAGAAGGACTTCAAATAAACCAAGCGTTTTGTGGCTTGATTCACAACCTTGTTCTACAATAAACGTAGACAGCATGACATCTGCCTACTGAAGAGGGGGCGACATAATGGCTGTCTTCCATTACTTTGAGAGGCTGCCACAGGAGGAGAGAGTCAACTTATTCTCCAAAGCACCAGAGGGCAGGACAAGAAGCTATAGGGTGGCGAAATTTCCTAACAGTGAGAACAATTAATCAGTGGAATGACTTGCCTCCAGACGTTGTGGATGCTCCAGCACTGGAGGTTTTTAAGAAGAGATTGGCGACCATTTGTTTGAAATGGTATAGGGTCTCCTGCTTGACCAGGGGGCTGGTATAATTATCTATCTATCTATCTATCTATCTATCTATCTATCTATCTATCTATCTATCTATCTATCTATCTATCTATCTATCTATCTATCTATCTATCATCTATCTATCTATCAACTATCTATCATTTATCTATCTATCTATCTATCTATCTATCTATCTATCATCTATCTATCATCTATCTATCTACCTATCTATCATCTATCTATCATCTATCTATCTATCATCTATCATTTATCTATCTATCTATCATCTATCTATCATCTATCTATCTATCATCTATCTAATCTATCTCTATCATATATCTATATCATCTATCTATCTATCTATCTATCTATCTATCTATCTATCTATCTATCTATCTATCTATCTATCTATCTATCCTTTCCTCTTCTCTTCTCTTCTCTTCTCTTCTTCATGCTACAACCTGGGATATCTTCCTGATAGTTTTTTTATCAAATTTATTTATTTATTGTTTATTTATTTATTGAATTTATATACCGCCACATGCTTAGCTTTTCAAACTCAGGCAAGTTCCACTAGGTTTTCCCACTTGCCACAGGCTGTACTGAGAAATTATTAATGAAAGGCAGACATCATGTTGCAATCACCTATCTAGCCCAATATAAGCACCAACAGATATCAGTACATATTTTGTCATTATGTACATGACCACTTAGTTCAGTGATGGCGAACCTTTTAGAGACCAAGTGCCCAAAAACTGGCCATGGCCCCGCTCCACCCACTGCCCTGCTCCCGCTCTGCCCCCACCCCGCCTGCCCACAGGGCCACTCACCTCCTCCAGGACCTGCCACAGATCGCCCAGGTAGTCCAGCAGCGCCATGGCGGCCATGCCCTCTGCCCGCGCCCCGCAGCATCAACTGTGCGCGATGGAGTGTGAGGGCAGAGTCTTGTCTATGCTGCCTGGCTGCCATGTCCTTGGCTGCGCTGCTCCACGTGGGCCATGCTCAGGGGCGACTCTCCTCCAGGGGGGCTGCTGGTGAGGAGGGGGTCGTGGGGGGAGTCGAGGCTGGGGCCACGGCACGTGTGCCCACAGAGAGGGCTCTGAGTGCCGCCTCTGGCACGCGTGCCATAGGTTCGCCACCACTGACTTAGTTCTTTCATGCTTCCCTCTTAATAACAAGCTAGCCAATGAATCTCCAAAGGTTTACGGAGGTTTGCATAAACAAGGTTTACATCAACAACAACTTACTCCCCTACAAACTTAATCCATGGCATCGGACCTGGATATCTCCGAGACCGCCTTCTGCCGCAGGTTACCTCCCATCGGTCGGTACGCTCCCACAGAGTGGGTCTCCTCAGGGTGCCGTCAGCCAGACAGTGCCGGCTGGCGACCCCCAGGGGGAGGGCCTTCTCGGTGGGAGCCCCCACCTTCTGGAACGAACTACCCCCAGAGATCCGGGTGATCCCGGATCTCCCCTCCTTCCGCCGCGCCCTAAAGACATGGCTTTTTCAACAAGCGGGTCTGGCCTAGGGATTTTTAGCGGGGTTTTTTAAGGGTATTTTAAGGATAATTTTAATGATCGGCCTTCTTAAATATTTCCTTTTAATTCGGTTTTTAATAAGATATCA